AGTTAAGCCAGCGTAGAGTTCATTTCAGTTAGAAGAAATTAACTCTTTCGCGGACTGACTCCCCTGGCCAGCAACTATTTCCCTTTTTTACCGAATTCTAGGATCCGTACCCCCGTAGGAAGGCCTGGTGGAGGCTAAGCATATACAACGTTAGCCTCCGTAGCAGGCGTATAGAAATGGGGGTTTGGTGATCTTCGGCTGTTTTCTGATTAGCCCAGTTTTAAAAAACGGGGTACTTCAACCAGGCCGGCTATGTTGTCAATCAGAAAATAGCACATAAACACCGTGACATAAAAGCTCCCAAAGACCATGAAGACCCCAAAACCCCCAGTTTTTGGAATGCTATGGAGGCTAATATACAACGTTGCCAACATGTGTTAAGTTCAAAAGTCGCTCCATCTGTATTTGTTACTACAGTGTACTGAACCACAAAGGGCGAGAAATTTAGAGCTTTTCGGAGCGAAGGTCAGCTTTTCGAACAATGGCGGCACCGGCTTGGATCATGACCCGGTATGGGTTGATCTGCTACGTTACATTTCAAATCGTCGCTCCATTGTATATTGGGCGTTGCCTTCTTGTTGTCGTTAATTGGACCGTACACGTCAAAATGAGAGTCAAGTGTTTGTTGTACCTCTTCAACCGCCTTGGTTATGTTGTATAATGTCCTTGGTTATGCATTCGGACTTGCATCAGTCTTATTACCTGGAATTCTTGGACAAAACTTTTACGTCAAATTCATCCTTGGACGTCGTACAAAGTTTTGGTGTCGTATAATTTTCAAGCAGTCTCGAACCCATTGCAAGACAAGAAAGGTAACCAAAACTTCAGCAAGTAAATCATCCATTTGGTTGTATGTCTTTACAAACTCTTGACATTCGCAAATTTTATGAATGAAGTTGGTGTATATTCGAGAATAGAACAACAGAATACTGAATAGTCGAGATGTATAAAACATCTTGCTTAAGTGTTTATCTGCAATGTTTGGGTACGTCAGATCTGTTGGCCAAAAATGAGTCAAAAACTGATTTGCAAACCCGGTGAATCTACGTGTATGTACGGCTCGTCCAAGGTCAGTGTTGTACCCCGCCGTGCGTACAATGTCTGTCATCACATCGTTAGTCTGCCCGCAAATTGGTTTCCTCAACTTGTTTATCACATTCCGGGCCGCGAGTTTCTGTCAGCACCTCGGGGTAGACTTTACATACGGCGACTATTTCAGCACATACAGTACCTTTACAGTTTCTACCTACAATTCTAGTGTTCTTTTTGAATCGTTCTATTGTTCTGTTTTGAAGTGTTCTATGGTTCCTTTTGACCTGTTCTAAAGTTCTTTTTGCATTAAGCGTTCTATTGTTCTTTGTGACCTGTTCTATAGTTCTTTTAACCTGTTCTATAGTTCTTTTCAAATGTTTCATAATGATAATTCTTTTTTTTTAATTTTCATGAATTGTTTGACTGGTGCTTTTGGTTTTTGCGTCTCGTGGCAGATTCATTTTAAATATCATACTACAAGAAAGAATGATTCATCAGTGTGGTTTATGTGGATTTTGGAGAACCAGAGTCATGACTGTTTCCTTTCTGTGGTTTGTGGGTCTGTGTTTCTTCTGTCATCTGTCTGGCGTGTACGTGGGTGTAGCAAGCGTTCATGGGCGATGACGTCAGTGGAACAAAGTCCCGTTACCTTTTAAGGCATGGTGTTCGACTCACCTGGCGGAATGGGGGAGGGGGGCACCAGATGCCCTTGACTCGTACCTTTGACCTTCATGGCTTTTCTTTACATTAGGCGGTTGACAAAAGAGAACGAGTGGGGAGGGGGGCATTTCAAATCAATTTTTCCAGATTAACAGATAGATTTTGTCTTGTATCATTCTGTATTTTTTTTAATTTGTCATTTTTTTCTTGTAGAAAATGTTAGGCTTATTCAAATTAGGGATTAGATAGGTACTAAGGTGTGGCAAGTCGTTCGTTGTAATATGAGCATTTAGTCGCATGCCCGCAAATCTGGCGTGTTACACCGAAAAGCGGTTATACGGGTTGACTAATTAAGAGACGCACAAAAAAAGGGAAGGACATGACTTTGTATTTTCTATACCGGATGGGGAGGGATGCATGTTTATAATAACAGGAAAGCTATATAGCTCCAGGGCAGCAACAATGACTTGATGTTTTGCCATTTTTTTGTATCCTATCTGAAACAATGGACAGCCAAAACATGACCTCATGAACTGCCAGTGTTTGGGACACAACTCCTGAGAGAAGGTTCTTGATTAAAGAGAGGAAACCCCATGTGACTTTGACTAAGTGATGATAGAGGATTCCAGATGTTGTTTCCGTCATTCTAACGTATCAAAATCAAATCAAGTTCTGAGTGAATGATGTCAATGTTGTTGTCTTTTTTTGTAGCATCTTTTGTAAAAAAATTCACATAAGAAAGGGGGGGGGGGCAATTTCATATTCTGAATATGCAGTCCTTTTATCAGTAAAATCTTGCCAAGTTTACTTCTATTTTTTTATCTTTGTATTTATATGAAAAAAGACCAACCAAACTATTTGTGGCAAGTCACAAAATGGGAGGAGGGCACCTTTTTGACCACGAAAACTGTATATGTGTGTGTTCTACCAGTGTGACCACCTCTACTTAAAACCTACAGCGTCCCAACAAATTCCGACGCCTTTCTAAAGCCTTTCAACGTTTCCACAAACCACGGATAATGTTTTCACTCTCACCGGGAACAAACACTGCGGTTCATTCCGTTTTTGTCTGGCTGTGTTTTGCTAAACAAGTCCGAGGATCCAAGATGTTGTCTTCTCACACGAGAACAGAAATTCGTGACATAGCAAGGATTTAAGTGGAACGGGAGGGAAGATATATATGTACTAGAGATGCAAAGACAGGATAAGAATTGAAGAACTACAGCAAAGAATAACTCGACAAAACCAGTTCAGAAAGGAACGAGAAATAGTCATGGCATTTAAGTACAAGACTTATCAACCAAGAATTAAGGGGTTTTAAAAATTCTGTTTCCCTACTAGAACTGTTGGTCATAGACTCACATACATTGCACGGTCGCTGTGTACCATCGCAAGCTTATGTCATTCTTGGGATATAGTCGGAAATGTGTGTTACAAAATTCTATTTAATACCGATAAAATTCTTGATCCCCAAAATGCTGTAAGTTTTTGGTTCTGTCACAACTTACTTGAAAATTGCACGACATCAAAATCGCAGAACAACTTATGTTGAATTTGACCGCGTCGTAGTACTAGTAGCGCTTGGCGTATGCGTCAGCCTCCGTAGCAGGTTTATAGAACTGGGGGTTTGGTGGTCTTCGGCTGTTTTCTGATTAGCCCAAAACTGGGGTAATACAACCAGGCCGGCCATGTTGTCTATATGCAATCAGAAAATAGCACATAAAAGCTCCCAAAGACCCTGAAGACCCCCAAACCCCCAGTTTTTGGCATGCTATGGAGGCTATGTATGTGTAGCCTTGACTGTGCATGCATGTCATACCGCAGCAACTGAAAGCTAACGGACAAAAATAAAAGCTAATTATTGCTTCTCTGGGAGATTACCCTTATCCATTGACCTTATAAGTTTCTTTCTCCGTTCTTTTACGCGGTCTGCGGGCCTACATTCTCTGTCAGTGAGGTCATGAAACCCGAGTCTCTGCCTAAAGACGGCTTACAATGGGCGGTTAGGGCTGCCGCCATGGTTTAAAGCACTGAAGAGGGGTGTGAAGTGGTCGACTGATGATTCCGTTGGGGATCGACCATTGTTGGTATTTTAGGGGGGAACGTTTAGCCTTTGGTCTCTTGTATTGGGAAGCCCCTGTAGTTCCAGGACAAGCTGCTAGGGGAACTTATGTCACTTCTTTGCGAGCATAAGAGCTACCTACCACCCAAAAATCATGATCACAGCATGTCCAGAACATGATTTATCAAAACCGGAAGTTATGCTACAGTATCAAGGAAAGTCGCCAGGGGTTCTAACATCTAATGATTTATTCGATAGGTCAAGACCTAAGCACATACCAAGTTTCATGGCAATCTATCAATAGCTTTTTGAGTTATGGTACTAAACCACATACACATACATACAAAACATACCTTTCTAGCCGAAACTAAGAAGAAATGTGACAGTTCAAAACGTTACAATGCAGAGAGGATGACGCCTTACTAGTTGCAACTTAGCATAACATTCCTCCAATACGTAACAAATCTACACCCCAATTGAGACTAATAATGGACGGTCCCTGTGCGCGTTTTGAGCCCCCTTAAAAGGCAGGGTATCCGAGCGCATCGCCCAATCAGATAAAGGGAAAATCCCGCCTAAATCCTGCCCAGATACCCGCACTTAGGGACGACTTTTCGAGGATCCAGGGGTTTTATAGAATGAGGTAATCGTGTAATGTTATGTGGTGAATGCCAGAGTATCGACCACAGAAATGTTGTAGAAGCGCCCCTATGCGGACATATTCGGCATAACAGCCAAACCAAGTGTGCTATGGGGGCAGTTGCATTGTAATGACTTGTGCCCGACACTATGGACGGATACATTTTTTTTCTGTGTGGTGAATTTTCGTGGATCTAGAGTTTTTATAGAGTGAGGTAACCATGTACGTGGTGAATGCCATTGAGAGAGTCGACCACTGGCATGGTGTAGAATCGCCCCTATACGGACGAATTCGGCATAACAGCAAACCCGACTCTGCTCTCTTGCCGTTGTATTGTAACCTATGCATGATTTTTTGAGAACGCACCAGGGGCGGGGCCCTTAATGTCTTACTATACTACATTTACCAGGAAGGTTATACTTTCAGCGTTGCTTGTTTAGAGTTTTGTGAGTTTGATAACGGATTCGTCCTGCAAATTATCTAGGTTGATAAGTGTCAGATGAACAAAGAACACGTTCTATGATGGACCCCTAGCGGCTTTTGTGGTACTACAACAGAACGCTTTTTGTATATTTACTAACCGTCATCATCTTCACACGTCCACAGGGTTTGGTCAGACGCCAGTTGCAGTTCGCGGGGCGGACGGTGGCGTCGCTTCTCTGCAGTGCGACCATGACGCGCGTCCCGGGGAGATCAGGGCCATCAAGTGGACCAAAGGACGGGAAATCATCTACTTCATGGCGCTGGACGGCGTAGTGACACCCCCGGGCCCGGACTACGCAGGCCGGGTCACCATAATAGACCAGATTAACCTGAGAATAGAGAGGCTAACGTTGGACGACATAGGAGAATACACGTGTACTGTGACGGTTGGAAACTCGGAGGGGCTGGCTATAGTGGACCTCGATGTCCTAGGTAAGAACAGTTTCGTTCTTTAGAACTGATGAAGAGGACTGTTCTATATAAGGCTGTTCTATAGAGGGCTGTTCTATAGAAGGCTGTTCTCTAGAAGGCTATTCTATAGAAGGCTGTTCTATAGAAGGCTGTTCGTTAGAGGGCTGTTCGATATATAGAAGGCTATTCTGTAGAAGGCTGTTCTATAAAAGGCTGTTCTATAAAAGGCTGTTCTATAGAAGGCTGTTCTATAGAAGGTTGTTCGACAGAAGGCTGTTCATAGAAGGCTGTTCTATAGAAGGCTGTTCTATGTTCTATACTATAGTAGGCTGTTCTAGAAGGCTGCTCGATAGAGGGCTCTTCGAAAGAGGGCTCTTCGATCGGAGGATGGTGTTAATTCACATATCTGGTATTTTCCAGTCCTCCCCAGCAGACCGGTACTGACGGCCTACCTGAACGGCGCGGCGGTAAACCTGGGCACGACGTCCCTCCCGCTGCAGGCCGAGCTGGTGCTGGAGTGCACGTCCACTGGCGGGAAACCGCCCGCCGAGCTGGCCTGGTACCGCGACGACGTGCGGGTCGACAGCAGTTTGTACACTTACAACAGCACCGCGGATCCAGACACTAATATAGGTAGGAAGTGCTACCCAGCGGCACTGGTTACTAGGTAGAAAATCAAGGTAGTAAGTGCTACCTAGTGGCTCTATGGAAGTATTGCTTTGGGTGTCTTAGCTGTGGATTCGTGTGTATGCTTCTCCGGACAGTGTATGTTGATAGCACATGGGTGGGAGTAGTTGACAGGCAAAATGACAGCCAAAGATTTCATACTTGAACTTTCACTTCCTTTCATTTTTACTAAAATGGGTGAGTCGCTAGGTTAAAGTTTATTGCAATTGTAACAGGTGCAGTGTATTGTAAGCTCTTCAAAGTTACTACATATCTAGGTGATATCTACTCTAACGTCTACAGTAATGCTTAGAGTTCTAAGTATTGAAGCTAACACTACACTATTTCACACAGGTGACGCGGTGTCCAGGTTGACCCGCCTTGTGTCGCTAGACGACCACCTGGCGAAGTACGAGTGCGAGTCATCAGGTCCCATCCCGCCACTGGAGACACAGAGGAGCGTGGGCGTGCTCATCAGGCTCAGCATTTACGGTGGGTCGGGGGCCTTGTCTGAGGAAAATTTGTGATCTTTTTCTTTTCTTTTCTGAGGAAAATTTTTGAACTTTTTTCTCCTGCAAGTAAAACTCTGTACTCATCAGGCTCAGCATTTACGGTGGGTCTAGGGCCTTGCCTGAGGAAAACTAAATTTTTATTATTTTTGTTTGAAATTTTGTGATCAGTGTAGGTTTGAGGCCTTCTCTGACAAAAAAAATTGTGAGATTTTGTTTATTTTAACTTAAAGATCTGTACTCATCAGGCTCAGCAAATACGGTGGAATGGGGCCTTGCTTGAGGAAAATTGAGAGTTAAATCTCTAGCATTTTCGTGTGAAACTTAAACTTTTTTCTTTTTGTTTGAACTTTAAACATATACCAAAAAGCAGTTACTCAAGCAACTTGATATGATTTTGGAATGTCCAGTTGCTTGCGGAATTGAGTAACTGCTTTTGGCGTATCGTATTTCTGGATGTCTAACCTTCATCGACGTATAGCAAGATATAGTTCACACCAGATCACAATAGTGTAAAAATGGACAAACAAGTTACACAAACGGTTTGATAAGTTAACGGAGTGGTTAATCAAGTAACCTATAGGTTAATGAGTGATGAAGAAAGTTAACATTGATAACAGTGTGGTTTATGTAGTTACTCCCTGTACTAACTTTGACCCTCTCTTCCCATTAGACACCACCCTCCCTCCGCCGACTACGCGCAGGCCAACTACAGAAGGTTAATAAATAACACTTTTTTACTTTGCACTGCACGAAATAAGACATTTAAGCACGCTTTAATTCAGATTTCGTTTATGACAAAGGCATCCAATGCAGTCTCAGGGACTTAACATACTACATTAACTACATTGAAAGAATGCCCAGGAAAATGACTTTGAAAATTCAGTTTCGCCACCCTGAAATTACATTAGATGCCTATAAGATATACTTACAAGCAAGTCTCCCTTGAGCATGCAGCACTATTGTCTACCATGCAGACTGATTTCAAGCTGAAAAAAAAAACTTCAGGCTTGCTAGTTGCCATTTGGTGAATTCTACTATTAGATTTCCCCGCAACTTAATAAGTTTAGTAAAGCTTAGCCATTCTCCATTGCATGATACTTTGTTGTGTCATTTATTTTTTGGCAACGCCTCTGGGCAGATCCAATAAAGTAATAGTGTGATAACCTTTGCCATATATTTTCCGTATCACTGTTCTGTAGTTTGACTGCATAAGTCAAGAGGCTATTAGGTGAATGTTATGGAATTTTATATGTGGGTTAACCGAACAAATAGTACTAGTATGTTTGATGATGTGACTCCTAGCGACTAGCGTGCACTGCATTGAAACGTCCGGTTTTGGGCACCTAATTTTACCATTTGATTTTGCTCCATCTAGCCATACCGAATGTCATCGGCCCACAAGAGGCTCCAGAGTCGAGATTGGGAACGCCAAGCATCATCGGAATCATAGTGGGCGTCATCGCAGCAGTAGCGCTTATAGCGGCCATCATTGTCATTCTGGTACAGAACAGGAAACGTCAGAACAAGAACCACACCTACACCGTCAACCCTGACAGTAAGTACTATATATATAACGTTACTCACTAGATGGCGTTATGATGCCGTAGATGCATGCCCCTAGCTGTCAATTGTCATCCTGGTAGAAAACACTAACGTCAGAACAAGAGTAACACCTACACCGTCAACCCTGACAGTAAGTGTTATACCGCAAAAAGTCGCTAGGTGTCGTGGTGACGCCACTGTAGCGCTCCTAGCGGTCTGTAGTTATCTCTTGGTACAGAACAGGAAACGTCAGAACAAGGATCACACCTACACCGTCAACCCCGACAGTAAGTGCTGTGCTCAGTACAGTCGCTAGGCGGCGTTATGACAAATAAGGTCAATGACCTGAACCAGATGGCTGTCATCATGGTAACTGGTGTTGGGTTACATCATTGCAATTTTATAGTAGGAGGGATTTAGACCCCTGTCACAATGTGTTTGAGTACGAATTTAAAGAGCAGATCATATGCGAAGGTAAACATTATGCATTTGCTTTGCAATTGTTACCTTTAATTTTTCTGATTTGCCAAGTTGAGTGCTGAACACTAACCGTGGTTTTCCTCACAGAACCAGCTCAAGATGGCGAGCTGGGCAGGGAGCCTGATGGTTACAGGAACGCCACCTTCGACCACGCAGCGCCCCCTACCGGTACTGCACCTCCGCCCTACACGGACGACCTCAGGAGAAGCCATCTTTGGGGGTCAGAGGTCAGTATTCGAATCATGTTCACAGAAGGATAATAAATAGACGTTGACATTCTTCTTCCCTTCTTCTTTCTGTTGAGGAAGCCACCTTCAGCGGTTTGAATATTCTGCTTCCTATAAGATTCTGCTTCCTACATTAACAAGCGGTTTCGAAATGTAAGTAAGTCTCTGTGAGTAATTAAAAAAAGTTTCAGAATCTGGCTAGGAGCTAGCATGACTTAGAGATGGGTGAATTCAGGAAGTCGAGGAAATTTCTTGTTTGGTTTATTTTGTATAAGGAATATTATCTAGATCTCATCAATGCCTACCCACCTACCAAGTTACATGACAATGCATCCATAGCTCTGAGTTATGCTGTTCACAGACAAACGGACAAACGCTACTGATAACATAACCTTCTTGGCGAAGGTAATACTAGTAAGTAAAAATGAATACAATTATAGTTCTATAACTGACCTGTATTTTTTCTTCTGTCGTCAGGACGAGCTGTCAATCAACCAGTTCTGCCAGCCCGACACGTCATCCATTCTCCAGTTCCCAGCTGATTTCTACCAGGACCAGTTACCCAAGATCCCCCACCCGGAGGAAACCGACATCTAGCGACTTTCACCAGAATTGCACCCTCCCCTTGGAATGTTTGAAAAAATACCCCCGTTGAAAAAATTGACATTTGTGTTACATTTGTCTTAAGTATACCTTCTCATTATACAGTTCCCAGTTGATTTCTACCAGGACCAGTTACCCAAGATCCCTCACCTAGAGGAAACCGACATCTAGCGACTTTTACTAGAATTGCACCCCCTTGGCACTGAGTAAGGAGACTCTCTTTACACAACCAAGTCTTTTTATTCAGCCGATGTTTCGGTGACCGTCTGTCACCTTCCTCAGGGCAATTCTGACTGGTTCAAAATTGCACTGCTGCACTTGGTTGTGTAAAAAGAGTCTCTTTACTCAGTGACTTACCAACCTGATGAAACTATTCACAGACCCCCTTGGCATGTTTGAAAAATACCCCCGTTGAAAACTTAAAATCAAAGATTTTAGACTTCAGTATACCTTCTCAGTGTGTGGTTGTACAAATTCCTTTATATCACCCAGTCTTTTCTACTTTTAGGTTTTACATAACTTTTTAACTAGCTTAAGATAAGTTACATAGTTACTGTTTTAAAAAAACATGTTTGTTGTGCCAAAATTATAAACTTTACTGACGTCCATAGCTACATGTACAATTTTATAAAAAAAATTTAGATAAAGATAACTAAGTGTTGGAGAGAGAAAAAAATTCATCTGTTGCTTACATTTTGTTTTTATTTTGGAGCTGCTTAAAATTAGTTGCCATAGATTTACAATTTTTGCTCTTAAACAGTGATTAAATGTTTTCCTTTGCTTTAAACTCTGATTTTAAACTTAAATATCAAAATAAACATTAATAATGCATTTTTCCAGAGATATGAATGATATGCTTGTACATTTTTGCACATATACGATTTTGGATATGGCATATGATTTGTATATGATGATGTTGAGCATATATATAAAATCTCCTAACTTGTATTAAGATCAATATATGTATTTGATTAAGTAGTGTTATTAGATAGACAAACTATCATTTTCCATCAAATTCTATTTTTACCATCTTATATCTTACCGCTTGTTTTGAACGCTGCTTACGAGTAGTAATCATGTATACTTTAGTAAATATGCAATGCAACTATCAGATTTCTACTTTCATGCTATTTGGTAAGTTGGTACTCTTCAAGCAGAGGTTTGATTTTGGTGTAATTTTGCCTGTTTTTAGGCTTTTTTGCACTGGAATTTTTTTCACCCAACCCCAAACAAAATTCCAGTGCAAAAAAGAAACCCCGATAAAAAAGCCTAAAAACACGCCAAAAATAACCCCAAACCCAAACCTCTGCTTGGAGAATAATAAGTTGATGTACCATATCGATTGATAGACTGGGTGTGCCCCTTCTAGTATATCGGTGTTATACTCATTCCCTTTGTTAGGCCATGTTGATTTGATTATATGGATGACATCCGCGCGCGCATGAATTTTCGGCCGTTTCAAAAAAAAAGTTTTCAACCATACTGTAAATCGTACAAAACAGTTGCAAAACGAGCAAAAATATACCATAAGTTACAAAAAAATTAATAAAAACTATACCAATGTCGTAGAATGCCAAAATCAAACGAAAAAAGACGAAATTGTAAAGAAATGAACTTGAAGACTAGATTATTCGCCAAAGCATATTCTGTGCCATTTGCTCAACCCTCGTGACCACGTAGATTTCATAATGAAAAGAACTTTTTTTTGCAAAACTTTTTTTTATTCGCACGCGCGCATCAGTTTTGGGGCTCCCGGAGGATGTCATCCATATAATCAAATCAACATGGCCTTATTAAATAGACAAGGGGGTTAGGATGCGTGTACGGGAGCCCTGGTATACAAATGGGGTGGCATCCAGGCTAGTCGAATTATAGGAGATTTGTATGTAAGTTAGATCATACACTGTCAGGTGCTTCGGTAGCTTTGCCTTAAGAGCAAACTGTGTTACGCACATTTTGGAAAATATATTGCTTTTTTTCATATTGTTCTTGTCTTTTTTAGAGCACATGCATATTAGTTATTGTAATCAGGAAAGAGATAAACTTTTCTGGAACCTTTGACCTAACATCCTGTTATAGTCTCCCGTATATACACGCTTGTAGCAGGAATCACAAACAAACAAACAAATACACATGTCGGTGAAGGTTAGACATACAGGTAGTAAGATATGCCAAAAAACATTAGCTCAAGCAACTGGATATGATTTTCCAAAATCATACCAGTTGCTTGATTTACTGTTTTGTGGCGAAACAAACACAGAGAGAGGGGGGGAGGGGGCAGACACACCGAAAACAAGACCTGTGAACATAAAGATTATCACAAACCCACATGAATATCAGATGCCTGCATTATAGCAGAGATGCACCAGGGGGCGTAACTAGCTGTTGGCCCTATTGACACTATCGTACACGGTACGGACCAGTATTAAGTCATGTGCTGGTTGCATCACATATTAGCACTTGTCCCGTGAGAGAAGTGGTAATATGTGATGCAACCAGCACATGACTTATACCGGTCCGTACCGTGAACGATAGCGTGAGACAATGTACCCAAAGTACACAAATTATACAGTATTAGAGTGGGAGATCGTGTGATAACCATAACACATACAATCACAGTGTGAATACAGGTACTAAGTTGTGGTACCTATACGCACCTAGAACATTCGACCAGCCAACTCACAGGTATGCATCATACGGTAGGAAAATATGTATTAGCTCTGACTTATTAAATTAGCCGGTATAACCGCCCTTCGGCGTAACACACCAGCTTCTGTATCTGTATCTGTATGGCCGGTATAACCACCCTTCGGCGTAACACACCAGCTTCTGAATCTGTATAGCCGGTATAACCGCCCTTCAGCATAACACACCAGGTTCTGTATCTGTATAGCCGGTATAACCGCCTTTCGGCATAACACACCAGCTTCTGTATCTGTATAGCCGGTATAACCGCCCTTCGGCGTAACACACCAGCTTCTGTATCTGTATAGCCGGTATAACCGCCCTTCGGCTTAACACAGCAGTTTCTGTATCTGTATAGCCAGCTGCTGTATCTGTTTAGCCAGTATATCCGCCCTTCAGCATAACACACCAGCTTCTGTATCTGTATATTTTGATTTGATTTATTAGACTTTATAAACAGATATATACAGTATCTGTTTATAAATCCGGTATCACGCCAGCCCACATGTTTACCACTTTGTAGTAACGATATCTTAAATCTACAAAAACAAACAAAAACGTCCAATACCATTCATATATTACTAATATTAATAGTTTACACTACTAGATTTTGTGCACTGCTAGATTTTGCAATTGGTACGTGTAGAACATGAACTATATGGTCGATTTTATGGTGATACATTTTAATTTGTGATATCATATTTTTGGTGAGATTATAAATTGATCGAAACAACCCTGGCCTTCGCCCTGTTCCTATTGGTGCCAGTCCGTGCGAAGTACAAAGTATCCACGTGTTAAGAGGGTCGACAGTTCTATTTGTTTGAATCGCATAAAGGGTGAACCGCTTTGAGGTGTAACCCACCTGGTCTGTTAGTAGTACGTTAGTTATTAAGTGCAGGCGGCATAGGGGCAGATTGATAAGGTATTTTTTTTTTATTCTTTGCTTTTTTTGCATAACCTGTCCGTTGAGTGCAAACTATCTTTAGGCAAAACAGACTAGCTTTTCTTTACAGTAAATACAAGCTGTGTATTTACTGTAAGGTTGGTTTGTTTTGCTTTGTTTGCCTGTTTCGCATAATCTGCGCACGTGTGTGATGTGTAAACTACCTGTAGACAAACCACGCCAGTTTTTTTTCTTTCAGCAAATACAACCTGTGAAATATTAGTACCAGGCCATAACGTTAGATCCACTCACACCAGGAAGGACCCCTACTTTTTTGCTCGAGTTGACTTCAAGATGGCGGACGCAGCTACTAAAGCCGAGCAACATGTGCTGGTCAAAAGTGTGGACATGCCTGATGACGCAATTAAGGTGAAATTAGCAAAAATATATATAAACCTAAAAGAAATATACATCTATATACTATCGTACAGTTACTTCTATGTCGCATATGCCTTGTAGCCTAAAATTGCAATACCTGCAGAATGTTGTTGACCTAAGAGACTTAAATTGATACTGTGTGAGGGGGCGGGGACGTACTTCAACCAGGGCCTATAGCTATACCTAGCCTCCACAGCAGGCTTATAGAACTGGGGGTTTGGTGGTCTTCGGTTGTTTTCTGATTAGCCCAGTTCTAAAAACGGGGGTAATTCAACCAGGCCGGCTAGGTTGTCTATATGCAATCAGAAAATAGCACATAAAAGCTCCCAAAGACCCCGAAGACCCCCCAAACCCCCCAGTTTTTGGCATGCTATGGAGGGTAGCCTATACCCCCATGCTAGGTGCCGAAGTGCAAATTTGGCGAGATCTCAGCACGTGTTTGGATGTCTAGAACGGCCTTGGGAATATTTTACACCTTATCTTAGGTGACCAAACACGCGCCGGCCTTGGGTAAGTGGGCTGTAAGTGTGTAATACTCAATTAAATTACGACATAGAATCCCTTCACAGTTCACAACAAAATGACTATGTTTAAAGTAAAACCTTTTGTTCCAACATAAAGGTAAACGCTCTCACATAGAGCTTTCGACCAGTCACCCTGGTCTTTCCCAGTACCTTTGTGTTGGAACAAAGTTTTGAATTTCAAACGTGTGATACGTGACTACCAACACAGATGAACCTTTATGATAGAAAATAACCGATCAGATGGCCTGGGCCCCATGCTGGTTAGTTCACGTAAACTACCATAGTCGGTAGCGATTGGACTTAAGGGTCGGACATAAACTATCTGTGGTACCCTGCAGGCTAACGATCACTTTAGGAAGATTTGAAATCTCCAATTTCTCGTTCCTTATATTTTTTTCTTTTTCTTTTTTACTGTACTGCAGATCGAAGGATATGACTTCAACAAAGGCGTGAACCTTGATGGAGTGGTCAAGCACTACCTGACCACAGGCTTCCAGGCCAGCAACTTTGGACTGGCTATCGAGCAGATCAACCAAATGGTGAGAGTGTAAAGAACGGTTATATGAACATGTAAGATTAAAAAATAATATACTGTCATCTATGTCAAACCTATGTAACTGAATGTATTGTTACACCCGGGTAAGGTAATTGGTGGTCCATAGGGGGGAATTCAGGAAGCCGAAGATTGCATATTTCTTGGAGGTCTGCTTCTGTATCTGTATAGCCAGTATAACACACCAGCTTATGTATCTGTATAGCCGGCATAACACACTAGCTTCTGTATCTGTATAGCCTACATAACACACCAGCTTCTGTATCCATATAGCCGGCATAACACACCAGCTTCTGTATCTGTATAGCCAGTATAACACACCAGCTTCTGTATCTGTATAGCCGGCATAACACACTAGCTTCTGTATCTGTATAGCCTACATAACACACCAGCTTCTGTATCTGTATAGCCGGTATAACCGCCCTTCAGCGTAACACACTAGCTTCTGTATCTGTATAGCCGGTATAACCACCCTTCGGCGTAACACACCAGCTTCTGTATCTGTATAGCCGGTATAACCGCCCTTCGGCGTAACACACCAGCTTCTGTATCTGTATAGCCCGTATAACCGCCCCTCGGCGAAGCACATCAGCTTCACAGTCACGCGGCGCGGCGGCAGCTACGACCTGTTACACCTGTTGTTACCATGGTTACAGAGAGAGCACAGGTCCAAGCCCGCCGTCCTCAGCCCGGAGGAGGAGAAGTATGACGCCATCTACCGGCCGAGATCAGACTGCACCATCTTCCTGGGGTACACCTCCAACCTGGTGTCGTCTGGCGTGAGGGACACCATCAGGTTCCTGGCTCAACACAGGATGGTGGGGCTTAGTTTTTAGTTTAGGATACAGAAGTTTTCTTTTACACAACCAAGATTGTCTCACCTGTGCTTACGTTTCAGTGTCTATGAGAGATCTTCCTCAGATCTCAGTTTAGGTGAGATTATCTTGGTTGTGAAAAAGAACACTTCTGTATCCTATACTTTACCAACCTGATGAATCTATTTTCGGGATATTTTTTGGTTGTTTGCTTGTTTGACTTACATAAGAAATAAAAAAAACGCCCTTAGACTTCTAGTTAGTAGTTTTGCACAGTAGGTTCAAGCTGCGAAAGACTGGTCTGTAATTCTTTTCCTGGGGACTTCGCATTTGTTTGTTTGTTTGATTTGCATAACCAATAAGGCCTTAGAACTGCAGTAGGAATTTTTAAAATATCTTCTTCTCCTTCTGCTCCAGATCGACTGCATCGTGACGTCAGCAGGAGGGATTGAGGAAGACTTCATCAAGTGTCTCGCCCCGACGTATCTTGGAGACTTCAACTTGAAGGGGAGGGACCTTCGACCTAAGGGTATAGCCTCCAATATTCAAGCAGATCTTTCGATGGTCGCAAAGACAGCGTCCATTTGCCTGACAGTATACATTGACGATGCAGTATACATTGGCTACCCGATACCCGATACATGGATACTGCCTGGCCAATTTGATACTGTCTTTGCGACCACCGAAATATCTTCTTGGAGATAGCCTCTAGCAGGCTTCAGCAGCGGCTAGAAAGAGTAGAAATCGGCCAAATAGACAGATAACACGTACATGTACCGCCGCGTCAGGGAACGGCATTGGCCGAAATGTATAGCCTATTTCAGGCTTCGGACGCGGAAGGAAAGGGTAGAAATTGCCCAAATAGATGGATAACATACCGAGAGGAACAGCCTTTATCAGGCTTCAGTGAGCTTCAGGAGCGGCTGGTAAGAGTTAGAAGCTGGCCAAATAGACAGATACCATGCTAGGGAATGGCATCGGCCGAAAAGCATAGCCTCTACCAGCAAAGAGTAAAATTGGCCACTCGATCATGATAGACAGATAACACCAGGGAATGGCATCCACCAAACAAGTAAGGCCTAGAATGTTGGATGCTGACTAACAATACTGAAGTCTGAAAATTGCGTATTGTTTCAACCCAGGCCTGAACAGGACGGGAAACCTCCTGGTGCCGAACGACAACTACTGTCTGTTCGAGGACTGGATTATGCCCATTCTGGACCAGATGCTGGAGGAACAGAAAGAGCAGGTGGGGAAATACGTGTGGATAGATGCGTATATAGCAGTTGTGTTGTGGTGGTGATGTTGCTGTGTGTTAATATTGATGATTGTAAATGTACAGTCATGTATGTAACTGAACTTTACCTGTGTGTTTTGGTATAATATTTGTCAAAATCATGTATGTAATTGTATGTTCTTGTCGGGAAGTTAAGGAATACTAGAGGTGTGCCCTCGACTAATAGATTATCTGACAAGTCTCACAATTATATAATGAATTAGAAAGGTAACATTTGCAAATGCATAATGTTAACCTTTACATGGTCTAGCCTAAGAAACTACTGCCATGTTTATTCTTACTCAATCACATTCAGACATGTACATGTGGTGACCAGTCCCACCTACTTGCTACATAATGTAATCCAACACTACAGGGTGTCTGCTACAGCACAAGTTAGTCATCGACCACAAATTTTGCTTTCTTGCTCAGAACAACATAAAAACACCAGGAAAATAAGATTATGTGCAATTTGATAGTTATTCACTACATATTCTCCTACTCGGGTTTGTTATATAGGGGATTCTGTGGACACCATCGAAACTGATCGCCCGGCTTGGAAAAGAAATAGACAACCCAGAGTCTATATACTACTGGTGCTACAAGGTAAAGTATTTTTCCTTTACCACTGATGTTGTTTTCGTACCGATATATATTTAGACAGCCATTACTGTCGTTTTATGTCAATCGTTTTCGACTGAATGGAAAACTTAGATTGAACACAATCTTGCCCTAAAGCAAGATGGTGTTCAGAAGGCCACATGTTTCCATAACTATCGGTTATGATTACGCCATATAATGGCTTCGCTCACTCGGCGGTTTATTCGATGTTCGTAGGAACCGACCATGCTTTATAACTTTGTACTCATCTACAGGACGGTCCAATATACCTATATTGATACACAAAAATGTTATAAAATGAACATTATTTCAGTGTAAGTTACAATCATTCGCTTCAGGCATCGGACGAAGGCTAAAAAAGCTGACACTCGGGCTTTGATTCGGTTCTTTACTTTCTATTTCTTTCTTCCCCTTTCCTTAGAACGAGATCCCAGTGTTCAGTCCCGCCATCACGGACGGTTCTATCGGGGACATGCTGTTCATGCACGCCTACAGAAACCCAGGGCTGGTCCTGGACATCGTGCAGGGTACGTTCATTACTTTCTGGGGCGGAAGTTTTGTTTTGGGTGGCAGAGCCGCGGGTTTGTGTGTAACTGTTTTTGTGGGTGGGAAGACTGAAATACAGAACCCCGGGACTGGTCCTGGACATCGTGCAGGGTATGTTTGTTTGTATCATGGACCAGACGTCTGTCACCATGGTAATTGATGTAGCAGACACCCTGTTGTGATGGGTTACATAATGTTGCAAGTTGCAGGGCATTGTTAGACTGTGTCACAACGCATATCATTGTTTATGGGTAAGAATAAACAATGGCTTGCTAGGCTAGACCATGTGAACGTTAACCTCATGCTTGTGCTTTGCAAATGTTACCTTTCTAGTTCATTAATTTCTGTTGCCTCTGCAGATATAAAGAATATGGACAGCATAGCTGCTCACAGTAAGCACAGCGGCATGATCATACTGGGAGGCGGTTTGGTCAAGCACCACATCCACAACGCCAATCAGATGGTAGGTGTATGTTGTATTCCAACACGTGTCTCATTCCAAAACATGTTCCATTCCAAAAAAAATGTCCCATCCATTTCAAAACATGCCCCATTCAAAAACATGTCTCATTCCAAAACATGTCTCATTCCAAAACATGTCTCATTCCAAAACATGTCCCATCCCAAAACATGTCTCATTACAAAACATGTCCCATTTCAAAACATGTCCCATTTCAAAACATGTCTAATTCCTAAACATGTCTTATTTCAAAACATGCCCCATAATTCCAAAACATGTCCCATCCCAAAACATGTCCAATTCCTAAACGTATCCCATTCCAAAAATGTCCTATTGACATACTTGAAGAGGCTGGTCACCATATATGTATTATTTAGAATAAACAGAGCAGTAGTTCAATGGACTAGACCGTGTGAAGCATTTGCTTTGCAAATGTTAGTTTTGTAGTTGATAAATGTGTTCTTGTATCTTTTGTTTCCTTGTATAGAAAGGCGGTGCGGAGTACGGAGTGTTCATTAACACTGCTCAGGAGTTTGACGGGTCGGACGGGGGAGCCCGACCTGACGAGGCCGTGTCGTGGGGCAAGATCAAGGACACCGCCAGGCCTGTTAAGGTACGGGCTTATCATTAAGCTTATTATGTTTACTTTGAAGTTCTAAGAGGTAAAACATAATTGTTTTGCTCTCTTTTTTCCCCTGCTTCTTCTCCAAACACATAAGGTAAATGGCCTGGACCACAGGCCTGTCACCATGGTAACTGGTGGTGTAGCAGACACCCTGTGGTGTTTAGTTACATTATGCAGCAATTTCTTGCAGTGAGGGTAGTTGTAGGGCCTGTTAAGGTATGAGCCTCTATCAGCCTCTACCAGGCTCCAGAAGCGGCTGGAAAGACTACAAAATTGCCCGAATAGACAGGCCAGGGGAGTTGGTCCGCTAAATGAGTACAGTTTGCGATGGAAAGACTAGAAATTGGCCAAATAGACAGGTAATATGTCAGGCCTCTGAAGGAGTACAGTTGACAAGCCAGGCTTTTTAGCTAATTCAAATTCTAAGTCTGTCTACATTGTATCTGATTCAAATTCATAACATATAATGCACTATAATTGCAAATACATTTGTAACAGTCTTTTTCCTCTTTCAGATTTTCGCTGATGCTACCCTTGTGTTCCCCCTGCTCGTGTCACAAACCTTTGCTAAGGACATGACGCCCCTCCCTAACGGCACCAGCGATTAAACTGAGACGACAATGGAATAAACATTATACGCTTTGCACTTTCGTGATGCTTACGAGTTGAAAGTCAACATAGATGTCAGCATGAAAGTTCATCTGTGTTGATATACTTCGTTATGACCAAAAGGGCTAAACTTTTTAGCCAACACTAAGTAATTTGGGTAAGTCCTAATTTACTTAGTGTTGGCTGGAAAGTTTAGCCCTTTTAGTCACAGTCAACATAGATGGTTGGGCAAGTTTGCAAAAGCTTTGATGGAAAAGATGCTGTTAAGTAAAATAAAAACCAGTGCAATTCATGGTCAATAATATAAATATGATAATAAATACTTTTAATGTACCTTTAACTTTTTTGCTAGCTTGGCGAATGATAAGGAAGTTTAAAAACATGCATATTAATCTTCAGGACTCTATGCAAATAATTTTGTTGGATCCCGTAATCTTTGCTAGTAATTGCACAGGTTGTGATTGAAGAGCACAGAAGCAGGTACCCGTATAATCAACGACACTATCATGTAAATGAAATGATATAAATCAAAGATACTGGATGATATGCTATATTTGACTTGATATATCTTCATTATGTTTGAGTGTATGAAGATAATGCTGAGTGAGAGCTGATATAGATTGAATAGATTTCACATGCAAATAATTTTTTTATTTTAAAATCTTTTGGTTCTAGTACTGATTGTGATTGACAAACAGCATTAAGTAGAAACAGGTAGAGTCAACGGCAATATTGTCTGAAATATTGAATACAGTAATAATCCATCAAAGCTGCTTGATTGTATGCTATAAATGACTTGATATATTATAATTTCAGTGCAATAAACTTCGAAAGGTCGATTTTGTTTGCAATATTCTTTTGTGTTTTTTTTGTTTGAGTGTATGGAGAAAATTGAATGGATTGACAGGTATTATCTTGTAGGTATTACCAACGTCTGCAGCAATTTATGAATGAATGCCGTTTTTATTCTACTAAAGTCCAATAGTCTAGATCAATTCCAGAGCTATAACCTTTACTTCACATTCCCACCACGTGAGTCTGATGTGATATTTGCTCTGGGTTAATTAGTTGGTACAAGGTCGTACGAGGTTGGATTGAAGGTCGCGCAATATAAATACAATGATGGGTCGATACGGTTAATCTCTACGCAGAATTTGAAGAGAGAGACCGTTAACATTTATCAGGCGCATATCGCATTTCACTATATTTGTATAAGACATTGTTTGCGTTGGGAAAGTTGGTGCAAGCCCCTGCGAAGGGCCCAAAGTTCGACTAGGGCAAAGGTCCATTTTTGTCGATATGCTGGCTGGTTTGGAACTAGAGAGTCCTGCTGTTCGGTAGGTGTTGTTTTATTCTCATCACTTTGCATTAGAATATAGCGTTTCAGTGCAGTATGAAATACTCATGTTTTTGCATACTGCATACCCTGTTGTGCATCTAGCCCATCAAGAACATGCAATAAAGATTGATATCATTATCATATCATTTATTGAAAATACTGTCTGAGTCATTAAGAAACTGGCTAGAAATCGCCACATCAATATGTCCATTTGAGCTAGCCTGGTTACCAAACCTATTAGGGGGCCCGCAAGCCCTTTTCCGTAGAGCGTATTCGGCGTTTTAATTATACGTAATGCGTTGTAGCCACTTGGAATTTATCGTAAAGCGTAATCGAGAGGTTTCTGAATTCAGCGTAGAGCGTTGTCGCCCCCCCCCCCTTTGCAGGCCCTCCTATCATAGCTCCCCAGTCCTAGAAATAGTGGAGATGCTGTAGGACTCGGGAGCTATAATAGGTTTGGTAACCAGGCTATATTTGAGCCGCCCGGCTCAACTACACACTATGACTATGAGTGGCCAATGACACATTTTGTTTGTTGTCTGTTTGCACTTAAATCTAAACATAAAAACAATTCAGTTTTTATTTGTAGTAAATTATGTAGAAGGGCTGTGCTGGAGAACCCAGAAATCTACAGTTTTATCGACGGTTTGCTGATATTTTTTTTGTAAATCACGTTTTGTAACTAATTTTGCAACAAAACCTAACACGTTGAGGTAACGCCATTTCCCCCTATTTAGAATCAAAGCTTTCTAAGATGACTGATCAGAAGAAAGACGACTGCAGTCTTGATGACGCCAGAGGTTATCTTGAGGAATATTTCGTGCCCTTGATGGGAGAAATACCAGACGAAGGGCAAGGAGGTCTTAAGGCCATCGACATCCTTCACGACGTCTTCAACAGTGGTAAGACACGGAATAAGATTAAAAACTAGCAAAGTAACACATGCAAAGAAAATACATAATCTTTAAGTATACCTTCAAACTGTATAGGCTAGCGAACTACTGTTCTGTTTATTCTTACTCATTCATTATAAAAAAAATCAGTTACACAAGCAACTGGATATGATGTTGGAAACGGTCCGACGAATCAGGTAGCATTTACTACCTTTCGTCAGTTATTCATATGTATGGCGACCAGTCACTCCAACTCTGTCCTGCCACTTGCTACATAATATATTTTAACACCGCCGGTCTATTTTCATGTTGGAAATTCAGGTGAAGGGCGTCGGCTTCGTCACATGGTCTAGCCTAACAATCTGCTGCTCTGTTTATTCTTACTCAAACATTCAAATATAATTATACATATGGTGACCAGCCCCTTCAACTCTGTCTTGCCACTTGCTACATAATGTAACCCAACACCTTTGACTGTATTAGAACACCTTTTTATAATAGTAAAACGTTAAACATTATTCCAACACACAATTTACAGGGATCAAATTTTCAGCGACCACTGTCGCCTTCATCAGGATGACCAATCACTTCACAACGTGATCTCGCGAGAGTTACGGTTTACAAACACGTGACTTTATTCACACGAGACTTTACTAATACGTGACGTTAGCAATTGATCAAACGTGCCAGGGAGTTTATATCGTCCACCATCTCTTTCAAGTGAAATATTTTTTTTTTTTTCATGTTGATCAGGTGAAGTTAAAGGGAAAAGACTAATAGACGTCGGTTCCGGACCTACAATCTACCAGATCATCAGTGCCAGCAGGGTCTTCCCTGAGATCGTCTGTGCAGAGTACAGTGAGGTACGATGTTCAACTTATTATAATTATTTAGTGCTTCACCAAATATAATCACTATTCTAATCTCCAATGGATACTGTTTTGCCACTGTACGATCTGCTTGGATATTACGACAAATCGCCTATCGGATTATGTTTACAATAACAAACTAAGTGCTATATTGTTGCCATGTCCAGCTCCCATATCCGCCCACATAGGTCAATTTCTGTAAACCTCATTCCAGAAGCGATACCAGACCATCAATATATGACCATATTGTAACTCATATATTGTAATCAATAGTAGTTTGTAGTATTAATTGTAAGTTACTTTAGTTTTGTATTATTGTTGTGTACTGCCACACATTGTACCATGTACGATTGTTGAGCAAGAAAGTTCATTCATCCATCCGCAGTCCGGCCGAGCTGAGATACAGAAGTGGGTTGCTGAAGACCCAGGCGCCTTCGACTGGAGTGAATACGTGCAGTACTTCTGTGACTTTGAAGGAACCAGGTAACTTTCAATATCTCAACGTCTGATTTAAGACTATACTAGGAGGAGCGATATAGTACAGAGTCAAAAAGCTCAAAATGTTTTCTGCAATTCTACAAATTATGGAATTTTAAAAGTATGTTAGGCAACGGCTATCACTGGTGGCAGTCTCTTAGTCTTTGGACGTTTTCTTTTTGTACCCTAGGTTACAACTTGTTTATCAAGATCAGGCGTTTCCACTACATTCCGTAATCTTCGTCAGAGTAATTATGACTAGTTAACTGTGCAAAAGCTGGACAAATCTTAAATAGGGGAGGGACATTCATTGAATTTGAAGCTAGATGGATCATTTACCACCTGATGAAATTATTTTACATATTAATTGCTAAAAGCTAACATTTTGCAATATGAACATGGATGCTATACTCCCCTATTTGTTCAGAGATATTTGGGCAGAGCGCCAGAAGCAGCTTCGCCAGGCTATTACGGCTGTGGTGCCGTGTGACGTGCACAAATCCAACCCGGTAGAACCGCTACAGTTGGAACCATTTGACGCTGTGATGACGCTTTACTGCATTGAAACTGCCTGCACTGACAGGTAATGATACTTAATCAAGCATTTCAATACGTCGAAGATAGAATGCTACAATAGTGTATATATAGCCACAGTAGCACATAACGTGATGCTGTTGATAGCTCTCTATTCATTGAAGATAGAATGCAACAATAAGCAGTGTATACCATGCCATGTCCATGTCCTAGACACCAAATGGTTTAATAAACCAGAAAAAATTGCCCGCCGGCGCCGTGGAAGGAGTAAGATTTTGAGCCTGTCATTCAGGCATTTAAATAACCAGACAGGGTCGTTTCTGTATACGATAGCAGAGAAAGTTTGAATGGGTAGTTTTAATCTATTTAATATACTATAAATATATACTATATATATCTATTTAATATTCCTATTCTGCTAATATGTCCTTCTCTGTCCCAGGAAATCGTACGTGCAGGCAGTCCGAAACGTGTCCAGTTTGCTGAAGCCCGGAGGGACGCTTATTCTGCAGACATACATAGGTACGCTAAGATTCCTTAGCAACGGTTCCTAAGCAACGGTACCTTAGCAACGGTTGCCTTAGCAACGGTTGCCCTAGCAACGGCTTCCTTAGGAAAAGTTGCTTTAGCAACGGTTCCCTTACCAACGATTCGCTTAGCAACGGAACTGGTGGCATTGACATAAAAAAATATATAAATATATGAATATATGAATATATAAATATATAAATATATATAAAGCCTTTACTCAAGCCACTGGATATGATTTTAGAATTGGAATTTTGGCGTATCTTATTACCCGGATGTCTAGCCTTCATCGATGTATATTGATATATAGATATATAAATATATATTATTACACATTTTCCCCAACTATGACTGCAAGTGGAATTTTCACTTGATTTCATGTTTTCTCCCGAAGGTGCAAGCTTCTATGCAGTAGGAGGCGTCCGACACCCGACGGTGAAGCTGGACGTGGATTTCGTACTACAGACCATCTCTGATGCGGGATATGAAGACATCAAGTGCTCGTACTACCCTGCAGCCAAACGGGAGCGCTACACAACCAGCGATCTCACAGCTATATTACATTTAACTGCTAAGAAAATATAGAATAGAATACAATGTTATTATTATGCTAACCTTCGCAGAAAGATAACATATTGTTTCTGCTTCCTTCTAATTCTTCTACAAACACATAAGGTCAATGACCAGCACCAGACGCATGTGATATCAGGTTACACTGTGTAGCAGGACAGGCGTCTGTCTCCATGGTAACTAGTGCTGTAGTAGACACTCCGTGGTGTTGGGTTATATTACGTAGCAGGGCAGGCGCCTGACACCATGGTAACTGGTGCTGTAGTAGACATGTGGTGCTGGGTTACATTATGTAGCAGGATAGAGCTGGAGGGGCTGGTGGTAACATATTCTAGCATATAAATGTGATTGAGTAAGAATTAACAAAGTAGTACTTTGCTACGCTAGACCATGTGAAGGTAAACATTAGGCATTTGTTTTGAAAACGTATAACGTATACACCTCAGGGCAGGTTATTGTTTTCTGTTCCTGCTTATGATTAAAGCGGTCGGCTACAATTAATGGTGAATCAAAATGGCTCATTATGCCTCAATGAAAAAGGTATGCAGACTCTGATATGGTAACAGAGGGCAAACAAATCTGAAGACTGAACCCAGCTCTTTATTGGTTTAGCAAAGTAAGTGAGCTTTTAGTAGTGGCACGCGGTGCCTGGTACGTCCTTGGTCCAGCCACCTTTGTCACCAATGCGATAACGTTTAAGTGTTTTTCACAATAACTTTTTCTTCTCCTTATGTACATTTAAATTCTAACTCCCACTAAAAACAGACAATGCTGAAACAAAATAAGTACCTAAACTCTATTCTATGAATAGTGTTTAAATGTGTCATTAACCCTAGAATGAAAACCTGAAAACGGCAAGCTAGTAATGTAGAAAGAAAAAAATGTCACTCTTATCACTGGCTCAAACTTTTGGCCAATTATTAACCCATTTTTGCCAAATTCTTCAAATATTGCATCCATTACCCCTTGGGAAGGCCTACCTGGCGGATGCTATCAATTATGACCTTTGAACATTGTATACCTGTACGCTTGATACAAACGGATTAGACAAAACACGCCAGCACTCATGTGCATCGTGTATGCACAAATATACAGATGAGGACAAGGCCGCAAACGTCGTACGTACGATTGCAAACTGAGAGGACATCGTCTTGTGACAGTCGTGCTTATATCGTGTAAAATTAAGCTGTCTTGTTACGCAAAAGTCTGCCTTAGATCCTTGTCGGTTGGTTGAAATTCTATCACAGCCTGACTGAAAACTCCACGACATCAACAAAATCTTACACGACGAGTTACAACTATCGTGGCCAGGTCGTAGCGAAGATGTCTGCCGAGCAAGAAGAGTACGAGTATTTCAAGAACGCCAGGGAGTATCTGGAGTACTTCTACTCCGATTTGACGGGGGAAAAGTGTCCAGACGAGGGGGAGTGGATGCCTTGGAGCATGGAACAGTTTCACCGGACCTTTAGCGAAGGTACAGTAGCGTTCATGCATACACTACAACAATGTTTTGAAATTCAAGTCAAACAAGCAGGAATTAACGAATCTTTATAAGCCAAGCCAAGAATAAGGAATATCATTAGCAGAACTTCGTCAATTCTTACTTAATCGTGTAGCATTGTACTAAAAGTCAATTGTAATAAAATGGTCAGGTTTTATGAAAAAGGAAAGCATAAGAGACAATATTTAGTGAAGTTCTTATCCTAAGTGATCCTAGCTCATTGACATGGAGGTTTCACCCTTTGAAACATGTTTCGCACAGTACAAAGTACGCTCAGGTCATCTCATGACATAACCTGGAATCCAGACTATCCACAGGGCCCACACATGTCACAGCTCTTCGGCATCAAGTCTAACATGCCCCCAACGAAGTTTCGCCTCAGCCACCTTGAGATAGCTGTTAATTAAGTCAAACTTTCAAAACTTGCTGGCCAACCGAGCATATAAGCTTGGAATGCCGAGAAAATCCAGTCTATATGAAGCCCGGCCTGTAGAAACTAGTGACCAGGTTTGATAGTCATGGCTGGATCTATGGAAAGCAACAATAGACCGTTGGAACACGTCGAACCCTAACTGTTCTATTTCGAACACATCGAACCCCCTATTCTATTTCGAACACCTCCACAAAGGCGCGGGAAAAGAAGAAATAGAACAGGGGCTTCGACGCTGTGTTCGAATGGGAACTTTTGATCCTTTTTGGTGACGCCTCAGGGGCGGAGCAGTTTGTACTGCATAATGTTGTACATGTATGTTATGTTGCAGGCAAAGGTTTTGGAGGAAGACTTCTGGACATAGGATCAGGCCCGACAGTGTATCAGTTGGTCAGCGCCAGTCGCGTGTTTCCGGAAATCATTTGTTCAGACTTTCATAGGGTAAGCGCCCTATATAGTGTTGGAATGTACAAGCTGCAAATGACATCTGCGCCCCTCCCCACGCTAGACATTCAATTGCATACACAAGTGACCATGCATGTATATCATTCTCTCTATTTAGATAAATAGAATAGACTAAAATGGCCTACTGATACCAACTGCAACATAACAATGTAAGGTTACGGTACCACGTTGCTAGCAACAAAGGAACTGGAAGAATAATATTATGGAATTTACATTTGCCTTGACGATATCTGCAATCTAAACAAAACGATTAGTACTGTTGTAGCAAAGGACTCCTGCCATGTGGCAAAAGGACTGTAGCAAACCCTTAGATACATTGTCGACAACGCTTTTTAGTGATGAACTTTCAACTTTTTCAGGGGGCCTTAGCGGAAATAAAGAAATGGAAGGACGGTAATAAGCAAGCATTTGATTGGAGCCCCTTCGTGAAACACGTCGCTGGATTGGAGGGCTCAAGGTAGGGAGAATCCACAATTGGATCATGGATAACCATCACGGGACCTACATGTACAAAAATAAGTCTGATATTAGTCTAGTTTGATATTAATAATTCTAAAATACGTACAGACGTTGAGACAGAGACATTCACAATAATGAATAAAAGAAACTTATAAAAACTGCAAACATCACACAGAGGGATAAATCTCTTAATACTTGTTGCTATAGATAAATTCAATTTCATTCTGGATGGTAATAGCTTTGTGTGCAAATAGGAAAATATATCAAAGAATCTTTAGACCCTGGAACAAGTAGTATATTATTAAGTTGACCCATCTATAGTATTGTAGGTAGATTAATTCTTTTGTACCATCATCGTCTGCTTGTGTGTCTAGTTGTACACCTTACCAAAGTCGTTGTACTTAGACCTCTCTGTACTCAAGTCATGTCAATAAAATTCTTTCTTTCTTGTAAACTATGAGATGGGAGTCTCGGCAAGAACAGCTACGCAGCGCCATCAAAGATGCAGTTCCCTGTGATGTATTTAACACCAACCCCCTCCACCCGGCTGAGTTTGAGCCGTTCGACACCATCATTTCTGCTTACTGTCTGGAGTCGGCATGTTACGACAAAGGAAGGTATGGAAGATACTATTTTTTATCTTAAGTTTATAGTTCTAGAGATTACCCTGCCAGCTACCAAGGTTTTGTAACGTACTTTGTAAAAGATGCAGCACCATAAAAAGATTTTATGGCATGAAAATTGTACAGCAACTTGCAATGAATGTAATGCGCAGGTACGATAAAACTTCTCTGTTCAAGACACACATATGAATGAGCAATGCTTTTAAAACTGTAAGAAGAATAACATTCTGTAAACCCAAAGGACAATAGTTAAGAACTGTAAGAAGAATGAAGTAAGTATAAACCCAAAGGACAATAGTTTAAGCCTTTAATAGCGCACAGCCTTGGCATAAAATGCTTTTCTTTGATACTCCTTACAACAATATGACTAGAAACCCTGAAAATCATTGGGATATCTGTCATTTACAATAAAGTGATATAAAAGAAGATAGAATCCTATAATAGCCCCAAGCCCAGTTGGTCTTCCTTTCTTCATACCTCTTTTGTTGTCTCTTTTTCAAAGGTCTGCCTATGCTCAAGCTGTAAGGAACATCTCTACACTCCTAAAGCCTGGCGGAAACCTCATCTTACAAACCTACATCGGGGTTACCTACTGGGTGGACAAGGAAGGCAACAAGACACCGGATTCCCTCTGTCTCGACACAGAGTTTGTGTTGACGACACTCTCCGAGGCAGGTTTTACAGAGCTGGAGACTTCTGAGTATAAATGTCCTGTGCGAGAGAAAGTTCAGTATAGTGATATAAAGGGGATGTTGCATGTAACAGGAAAGAAAATCTAACCGAGAAGCAACAAGATCTCATGCCTCTATGAAATATTTAGAGTTTTTATAAATCAATTGGTTTGTTAACAGTTTTCTTGTGTATCTCATTACCTGTATGTCTAACAGTCACAGACGTAAAAGACTTACAAAGTATATCATATTTACATATACCTTGCAGTGATGCATGCAAAAAGAAAATAGATTGTGCACCTGATTCCCTGCCTGTGTCTCGACACAGAGTTTGTGCTGACGACACTCTCCGAGGCAGGCTTTACTGACCTGGAGACTTCTGAGTATAAATGTCCTGTGCGAGAGAAAGTTCACTATAGTGATATAAAGGGGATGCTGCATGTAACGGGAAAGAAAATCTAACCAAGAAGCAACAAGAAATCGAACATCCCTGTGAAATATTTTTATAAATTTCTTGTCTTGTTAACAGTTTTGTTGTGTCTTCTTCTGTATCTCTTTACCTGGATGTCTAACAGTTATTGACGTAAAAGACCAACATATTAGTCTATATAAGTCTATCATGTCTACTTCTGTTGCATACCTTGCAGTGATGCATGGAAAGAAAATAAATGTGCAAACTGTAGTATACATGTGTAGTTACTTATTTAGTAGAAGTAAACAAGAATAAAATAATGGAAGCAAAACATCTGAAGACATTAACTTTAGAACAAAATTACTAGACACTAGTAGACAGTAAGAAATTTCTTGGGATACTAAATAATTATTATGATAAAATTCTAGGCTTTCAACAAACAATAAATAATGTGAAAAACAATGAAACACTATGAATAAAAACAATAAAAAACAGATAATAATATAGGTGTGTATGATAAAAAATTAAACCCTACATGTACTTGGGATCAATTGTGGGGGAGTTGAATTTACCTTTTCATATGGTGATGTAAAGCTGATGGCCCTGTGCATACTAGGGACACACTTATTGAGAAGAGTAAACACTGAATGTGGAAGGCCAAAACCCACAAGATTGACGGTAGACAGATTTGTATGATATTTGGCACCATGGCATGTGGGTAGGTCTCAAAAAAATGAAGAGAAACTCTAAATTAAGGGCCCCTGGCAGCTTTCATTGCTACTGCAGTAGCTGCATGTGCTGGACATTTTTTATCCATCCCATCTGCATGTTTAGGACAAGTTCAATGGTCGAGTCCATATCTCTTCTCCTATTGTGAGTGTCCATTGACTTCAAAGTTGCGCTTGAAGCCCACGTGGCACAGTTCACACTTGAACGTTGAATTTACCTCATTTGCATGTTTGGGACAAATTAAATGGCTCCGTCCATATCTCTTCTCCTATTGTGAGTGTTCATGTGGCGATTGAGCTCAAAGTTGCGCTTGAAGCCAGCGTGGCAGAGCTCACATTTAAATGGCCGTTCCTCCGTGTGGCGAAACAGGTTGTGCTGCGAGAGGTTACTCTTCGTTTTAAATGAAATCCGACAAATATCACAGTGAAACGGCTTGTCCGCTGCAAATTCTCGCTGCTCAGAAAAAGACGTGCCAGCGATAACGATAGACGGAGGGGTGCCTGACGTGCCCTGCACCGCCGCAAAGTTTTGGCTGTGGAAAACAAGATGGCGGTCAAGTTCGTAGCTCCTGCGGAAGGCAGCGGGGCAGACGTGGCATTTGAATGGCTGTAAGCAGTGGTGTACGCTGAGTCGGTGCTGCTGTAGGGCGCTCTGGCTGGAGAACAGAGCTCCGCACTCATCGCACAGAACAATGGCACCCTGCGTCACGTCTGCTTGATCCGCACTCCCTCCCGCTCCTGTCTGGAAAACGACATGCTGGTTTCTGACATAGAGGTCACGTGATACCGAAACAGAGCTACCCAAAGAGCATGCCGCCATGAGCTCCTCTTTGACATTATTAGCCTGTGGGTCGTTGCCCTCTGACCCCTGACCTTCGACCTCCTCCAAGATGGCGGTGCTGTCGGACGTGCAGGAGAGAACCAGTGACCCCATGGTGTCCTCCTGCAAGGTCGTCTGTTTACCATGGTGATCATTGCCATGGTGACTATGGTTGCCATGGTGATCGTTGCCATGGTGATCATTGCCATGGGGACCGTGGTTGCCATGGTGATCATTACCATGGTGGCCATGGTTGCCATGGTGATTGTTACCATGGTGACTTTGGTTGCCATGGTGATCATTGCCATGGGGACCGTGGTTGCCATGGTGATCCTCTGCACCAGACGACGACGACCTTGGAGAGGCCGTTTTAAACCGCTTCGTTCTTAGTGAGGATTGTTGGTTTCTTTCTTCGGAGTTTCTTCTCCCTTGTGATGTAAACGTTGTCTCGTTTTCCTGCGAACAAGATGTGACCTCGTTGTCTTCGTTTTCGACCTTCACCACCACGACCTCTGACCTTCCGCCCTCCCCGTCTCTCTGAGACAGCCTGCTGGGGTTAAAGGTCGTGTCCCTAGAGTTGTCATTTGAACCTGAGCTCCACTCTGGTGCTCTCTGTATGTCAGTCTGTCTGCTAGGCTCAGGCGAGAAGTTTGACTGGCTCGCATTTTTGGCACCAGAACTTGGACGGGATATGCTCTGTGTAGACGGTTGGTTCTCCGACGTTTCGACTACGATATTAGGAGTAGAAGAGGAGGCTGACTTTGCAGCGTATTCTTGCAGCATGGTACTTAGATACGGATAACCCAGCTTGCTCCTGCTATCATCCTGGGACCCACTCGAAGGAGACACAGACCCCAACGGACTGGACACGCTCGAACTCTGCCTGTTTCCCACATCGCTGCTGGTGGAGTGGACATTCCTTGTTCCGCTTACCTATGAATGAATGAATGAAGAAAAAGTTTTATACTCAATGAAGACATATAGCATAAACTGGTGTACTAAGTACCTAATACCAGCCCAGAAGAGAACAAGAAATAGCCATGCGTTCAAGTACCAGAGTTATCAACCAAGGATTGAGGTGTTCAAGAATTCATTCTTTCCTAGAACTATTGCAGAGTGGAACTCGCTGTCACCAAGTACAGCAGGAGCATTGTCATTAGATAGCTTTAAACTATGTCTAGAGTTAGATGTTCAAGGATTAGGTGTGACAAGTAGATCGGTGTAATATAGCCAGTTGCCGCCGTGCCGCGTGCCTGCGAAGCTGGTACAGTGTTACACCGGCTATACAGATACTAGAAATTACTTAGATATTAGAATAGAAACTCCTAAAATGTAAAAGTTCATACCTATCCCACCCATATTCAATTAACTGTTAATGTTACATGCATATATGACTGATGAACCTCTTCAACGACCAAGGATTATCCTGCATATGCCCTACCTCTGATGGTGGTGGGCGCAGTGCAGCAGCTAGAAATGTGCTACAGTTGTTGAGTATGTCCATCACTTGTAAGAAGTTTGCAGCGTTATTCGTCTCCAAGGCATTCTCAATGGTGAGTTTGAGCTCAGAGGTGTATATGAAGTCTAACACCACGGCTACACCTTCAATCAATCAATCAATCAATCAATCAATCAATCAATCAATCAATCAATCAATCAATCAATCAATCAATCAATCAATCAATCAATCAATCAATCAATCAATCAATCAATCAAATGGTTTATTTGTGAAAACAAAACAAGACCTTGTAGCCATAGGCTAAATTGTGTCTTGCTGTACAATTTGATTTGACATATATTTACACATTAAAATTGCTAAATTATTCAATAATAAAATCCATGTCTTTATACATTAAATACCTCAAAATAACAGTTTCAATTTCAACATTAAAAACTAACAATTACAGACATATATGAAATACTAACACAATAATGTACAAAGTAAAAAAATAAGACTAGAGGACAGACTAACCACCCTAGAAATACGATACACATTATTTGGAGGAATTGTTCAATATGCGAACCAGGTATGGTACTGGAGAGTTACCTTGAGGAGTTAGGCCTGGAAGCTGGACCTTACTGCTGGTTGTACTGTTGGTGAGGATTGAGGCAAAATAACCAGAGGAACCACAGAGGATACACTTGTGGGCCCAGAAGACATAGTCCTGTACCTGAAAGAATTAACAGATAAATGATCATAGAATATGTTTAAAGTTAAAACTTTTGGTCCAACACAAAAAATTCTCTCACCTAGAGCTTTTGACCAGTCACTCTGGTGTTCCTCAAGAGACTGACCCAGTGAAGCATTATAGAATATAAAAGATAAACTATGGTCTAGATAGCCTGGGTACCATCCGGATTTTTGCTCCGCAACACTCGAAAATTTTTTTTGCGTTGCGGAGCGAAAATCCGGATAGTACCCAGGCTATGGTCTAGAAGCTACATGGCCTTCACCTGTAAGTCAGAACACTGTTAATATCGAAATTGGGATTTTTAGGATTTATATTAGGATTTTACCATGATGGTCAATATTGACTGAAGGAGGCCATATATATATATATATATATATATATATATATAGCAGATGTAGATGTATAGACACAGACAAACCTGCTAAGGTGACCACCTCTTCTAGCTGGCCACCTGGCTTTGGTGACCACCATTTTCCCCATTGATGCAAGCATGTAATTACATTGTATGCACCACCCTCCCCACATGCATTCACCACAGAACAAGTTACTTACAGCATTTGACATTAAAACATCTCGACTTGGAAACCATTTATGTCTCAGTCATATTGTGAGGCGACCCTCTTCAAGGAGACCACCTGTCCAAGGCGACCACTTTTCTTCTTAGTTTTGACTGTATATAGAAGTATATAGCACCATTTTAAAGGAAGGATCTGCAAGCATCCCAACCGGAACCAGCACGTCTCCCTCGATATGGATCCGCTGGGGAAGACGGGTGCCCAAGTCAGTGGGTCTCAGATTCACAACCTGTTATCCACCTTAAACAAATCCACGCAAAGGCCACCGTGTCAACTGTGACACTCACTCAGGTGTAGGGACTGACACGGTAAATTCCTACTCGGAAAATCTGTATCTTTATATCTGTACACGTGACATGAATCTGTATCTGTGCATGAATATGTATCTGATTGCAAATAAAGATATTGAGTGATTGCCGTAGAGTATAGAGAGAAAGGAAGGATCAGTTTAGGTACAATCTGAGTTAGTAATGAGATTGACTGTATCAGTGATGGTACATGTACCTGTATAGCGATGTCACAGACAGGGTGCCCCGCCCGCCTCTGCTGGTTCAGCCTCCGCAGCACGTTCTGAGCATGCTCAGGATACTGGTGTTTCTGGTGAGTTGCCATGGCAATAGCTTTGCTCACTGCAGTTTTATTGCACCTGAAAGTTATGTAAAAACAAAAGACTTTTTTTCAGGATTTATAAAAATTCTTCATTCAAAACACTGGTCAATATATATACATAAACGAAAAAATTATTGCATGCTGAATTGTATTAACCTTACATGTACATGAAATACAATGCAGGCACGAACAAAACATACAGATTCACAACACCAATATATACAACATATAAAGACTAAGTCTATATTTGACTGTTGTAGAGTCTGATTGTGTGATGCAGTAACAAACTCTGCAGTCTGGAGGTTCTTTTTTAAAATCTCAACCATCCCTCAATAGTAAATGTATAACCTTAAAAACTTGGGGGGGGGCTTTTTATGTACAATAATGTATATCAAAGGAAAACATTGTTTTTGCTCAGTTTCTTCCTCTTCTTCTTCTTCCATTCCAAACACAAAAGGTCAATGACCAGGACCAGACGTCTGTTACCATAGTAACTGGTGTTGGGTTACATAATGTTGTAAGTGCCATGCAGAACTGTGGTCAAGAGGGGCTGCATGGTCACCATATAATATATGAATGTGTTTTCTCAGTTCAGAATGTGTTTGAGTAAGAATAATATATATTAAACAAAGCAGTAACGTTTATAACAAAGGGTAGTAGTCAATAATATAGTCAACAAAAATGATGGCTAGTAACTGAATAAGGCTTAAAGACTTGGGGGGAGGGGGGCTTTTAGGAGCTTCAAATATTTTAGCAAGGTGAAGGTAAACATGATGCATTTGCTTTGCAATGTTACCTTTCTATCTCTGTATCCTATGTTTTTTGAGAGTATATCAGAACATATTTTAGCTGTTTTGATTGTTTCTTGTAGACAGCCTTTTGGGCTTAGTGTAAATCCAGTTACATGCTGGCAGCTTCAGAGGAATAGACATGAAACAACAGTGAAGTGGAAGTGAAAATGCTGGTTTTCCATTGTTCACATCGCTTTTGATGTCTCAGACTTTCATCTACATCTCATATCGACCATGTGAAAGATCAACAAAAAGAACATTTTGTGGATGGCAGACAAATTTCCTCTTCAGAGGAGAACCCATGCCAGGTGGTATTTTGCATATTTCATAGACGAACTGGGAGAAGACTGGCCACCGAGCCGCTACATTTTGTTGTTGGGGTACAGTACTAGTCCTGAAGAGTAAAGAGAGTGAAGAAAAAATGTCTCTCCAGTTCTGCATGATACTCTTCATATTTTGCTCCATCTCTCACGGTAAGCAAACATGTTGTTATCATATCTGTATCCAAGGTTTCGGTTCAGGCCTGGATTCAAGTCCAGAGGTTTAGGTTCAGTCCCAAACATACAAGTCTTGACCTAAAGGCATATGCAAAATTGCATGTTCGCAACCAAATGTTGCCTGGGCAAAACTGTGGCCACATGGAGGCTGACACTTGACGATGCCTGATGGCAAATCGAATGATATCTTCATTTAGCAGCACAGATTTTGCAATCTATGCAACTGGTTTTAGGTGTTTTGCATGTACTTCTAATGTCTTTTGTACATGTAGGTGTATGAGTAATTGTTTTTGATGCAGCTGCATTGACTTCAATAACATAGCTACGCAGCGTAAAAGAAAGAATGGCATTATGGTTTGGAAACAGTCTTTAGTATGATCTATGCATTCTAACTTCTAATTAAGTGGCACAGGTAATTTTCAGTGCAAGTATGCATGAGAAAGTATTTTGAGCCCTGCCATACCATCAAAAGTGTTATACAAATGTAGTTAATGTTGTTTCTTTATGTGGTGTTGAATGACCAACAGATATAAGACTGAGATCATGGATTCATTTCCAGGCATAGAACACAAATTGCACAAGTGAACTTCAATCTGCAAAAAATGTCTTAATCGATAAATAATCTATTCAATGGACCTATACCATTACTACGTCACAGTTTGTTTACCGCAATGAATGCCGGTTAATAGACATTTATATTGTACAGGGGTGCGTAGCGCGGTGTGTGTTTGTGTAGCGTTAGCCTAATATAAGGCTTTTAATACAGTACTACTTTCGTCTAATGTCACAACTAAATCACCCATGCGGCATGTAATGCTGTGTCAACACAACTAGATGCAGAAAAAATCAGACATCATTACCTTACTTTGAAATGATCTTTATTCTTTAACTGACCGTTCTAGAATGTTCTTTAGAACAGGTAAACAAACTGTGACGTGATAATGGTATAGATCCATTCAATTCGGAAAATAACACCCCCTCTTCAGACATTAATGCTTGAATGTTTAATTCTCTTTTTCATGTGCATGAAATGTTTTCTGTTTGTACCACTGTCAGGTCAAAGTTCAAATGGCGGGCCATGTAAGACAGAAACCTCCGTGTACGCGTTTGAAGGCGGAACACAGTTTCTCAGCACCCCCTACTGGGAGCAAACTGCCCAGCAGGAAACAACTGATTCGTCTGTCGATAAAACAGGTACAAAAATTATCTGACTTTTCTGTAGTCTAGTAACTTGTTATTCTGTAGTTACTTCATACCTTGATTTCTGTGAAAATAGATGTACCAGTAGCAATAGCATTGCTTTTGATGTCTGTCTGTTTGCTTGAGTTTCCCATTGTATCTTTAGTCAGCATAATTCAAGACCCTAATTTGACTAGTTTGTGGGGAGGTCTTGAGAAGATAAATTTGGCATTGAAAATGTGTCCTTGTGGAAGTTTTACTTTTATTAAACTGTATTGTATCAGTTGGATCACTAAATTGATTGAGATTGCCAAAGTCTAATAAAAAAAAATTAAAGAAAAAATTAAAACGTACATGTTTTGTGTACGTGTTTGTAGGCGGAACACAGTTTCTCAGCACCCCCTACTGGGAGCAAACTGCCCTGCAGGAAATGACTGATTCGTCTGTCGATAAAACAGGTACAAAAATTATCTGACTTTTCTGTACTAGTAACTTGTTATTCTGTGCATGTAGTTACAAAGTACTTTTACCTTGAACTTTGTTAAAATAGATCTAGAGGTACTAGTAGCAATAGCACTGCTTTTGATGTCTGACTGTTTGCTTGAATTTCCCTATTTTTTTCAGAACTGAAACAGGAAACACAACATATTTTTCTTAGGCCTTTAGTCGGTTGAACCATAATGCTAGTCTGGAAGAAGTGGTGTAGGCTTGGGCTCACTTGAAGTTCATAACAGAACTAAAGAAGTAACATTTGCTTTACTTTTGGACATGGTCTGCCCTGGTAATTTTTACTCAAACACATTCACACACATGTACTACTAGTATATGGTGACAGGAGTAGACCAGACCATGAAATTGCAACATTATGTAACCCAACACCAGTCACCGTGGTGACAGACGTCAACAAATCATGTCATTGGCCAGGTCAGAGGTTAGTGTTTGGAACAGAAGAGGAAGAAACTGAGTAAAAACAATATGTTTTCCTTCGGTAAACATAATTATTATAATCATTATTTTTATTGCTTAATTCTTTTTAGAATTTCATCAAGCAGAAGATTGCCAGGTGGGGAACGGGAAATCCTACCGAGGAACTGTCTCTGTGACCAAAACAGGCCGGACCTGCCAGCACTGGGACACTCAGACACCCCACGAACATGACTACACATCTGCTCACTACCCATCGGGAGGGCTGGAGCAGAACAACCACTGCAGGTAGGGGTGGTGCACAAAAATTTCAAACTCTTCATACTTTCTGAACTTGATGTCAATTTGGATAGGTCTTTGTAAATGAAACGGAATGGTTCTATTTGAACAAAATCGGACACACCATTAGTGAATTATGGCCATTCAAAGGTATGAAAATGAGTCGCGAATTTTCCGAATTCTATCAAATGTGTTAAAAACTAATAATATATTCAAACTGTAATAAGTAAGTAATAAAAAAACATCACAAGCATTGATTAAGTTTTATTTCTTATTTAGATCTATCTTACTAAAGCATATTAATTCTACCATATGCAGGAATCCTGCTGGCAACGCTCCCAGAGTTTGGTGCTACACCACGGAAAAGGGGGCCAGATGGGACTTTTGTGACTTGCCAGTGTGCGGTAAGGTCTGATTCTAGTTGATTCTTGAAATACTGGGTGTATATATGCACCTCAGTGCAGGTATAATTGGGGCTGCGCAGGTATTTCTGATGTCTACCTGCACCTAACCTGCACTGGTTCATGTACTGGGTATATGCAGGTTAGTGCAGGTAAAATTGGAGCTGTGCAGGTATTTCTGATGTCTACCTGCACCTAACCTGCACTGGTCCATGTACTGGGTATATGCAGGTTAGTGCAGGTAAAATTGGAGCTGTGCAGGTATTTCTGATGTATACCTGCACCTAACCTGCACAGGTCCATGTACTGGGGTATATGCATATACAACCTGTACATGTATATAGTTCAAGCTGGTGTGTTACGCTGAAGAGCGGTTATTCCGGCTAAACTAATTATATATTATAATACAGAAATTGCATTGGAATTGAAAGACACCACTTATCGACATTTCAATTAAATGTAAAATGTCATTTTAAAGGACAATCAAGACAGTTTTTTCTTCAAATCCTAGGCTGTGCCTTCAAGTCTGGCGGTTCAGACTACCGAGGGAACCTTTCCATGACCAGAGACGGGAAAACCTGCCAGCGATGGGACTCCGACTATCCACATAATCACAGCTACCAGCCGGAGGTAGACATGTATCTGTATCTGTATAGCCGGTATAACCGCCTTTCGGCATAACACACCAGCTTCTGTATCTGTATGGCTGGTATAACCGCCTTTCGGCATAACACACCAGCTTCTGTATCTGTATAGCCGGTATAACCACCCCTCGGTATAACACACCAGCTTCTGTATCTGTATAGCCGGTATAACCACCCTTCGACACACCAGCTTCTGTAGCTGTGTAGCCGGGCCGGTATAACCGCCCTTCGGCATAACACACTGGCTACATTACACCGAATGACTTGTACATGTTAGACCTAACCCTAGAACATCTAACTCTAGACATTGTTTAAAGCTATCTAATGACAATGCCCCTACGTATACTGTACTTGGTGACAGCAAGTTCCGCTCTGCGATAGTTCTAGAAAAGAAGAACACCTCAATCCTTGGTTGATAACTCTGGTACTTGAAGGCATGGCTATTTCTTGTTCTCTTCAGGACTACCCTGAGCTAGTGGAAAATTACTGCCGCAATCCCCGAGGAGTTGAGGACCCTCATGAGTTCACCATTTGGTGCTACACAACGGACCCTAGCACTCGCTGGGAGTACTGCATCGACCCTAGATGCCCTGGTGGTTAATTGTTTTTCTATATATAATGTACTAAGCCCAAACCAATTTTAATTTGTTGGTTCTTGGATTCGTCTCTTCATTTTTTTCTGATTTGCAAAAAAAAGTTTCTGGTTCTGAATGAGTGAGTGAGTGATTCTTGCTTATAAACCTGCCATTCTAGATCTCCTGCAGTCTCTTACTGTCACTGACGAAAGGTAGTGGATGGCACCTGAAACATCTGACTGTTTCCAAAATCATATCCAGTTGCTTGAGGAACTGTTTTTCCTGGACATATGTCTAACCTTCACCAACATATGTATGATTTTGCACACAATTTTTTTCAAATTGAACCTAAAATTTTTGCCAATGTGCAATTTTGCATGTACCTGAAAAAAGTCTTTCGAGCCCTAATAGTATATTTATTACATTTCAGTACATGCTAAGAGTAAGAACTGGCCATACCGGTATGATGGGCGATGCGGTAAGGACTTTACTGTTCCTGACTCTGAAGGTGAAGCCATCCCTGGCCAATGCCATCCCTGCGGTAACAAGCCTTGTTGCTCCCACTTTGGTTGGTGTGGCTTCTCTTACCACCACTGTTTCTGTGACTCTTGCATAGACTACAGACCTACATGTACTTAAAGTAAATCAGGGCACGAAATACTGGGTGCAAAATTGAGCACCTTAGTGCGCCCAGATTTTTTTTCTGTGGTTGCACCAGTGCACCCAAATATTTTCATAGTTTCTGTATCTGTATCAGTATAGCCGGTATACATTTTTTGTAACTGCCCTTCGGCGTAACACACCAGCTTCGCAGGCACGCGGTGCGGCGGCAGCTAGCTATATCACACCGAACGACTTGTTACACTCAATCTTTGCACAAATTTAATTGCAGGAGTTGTTTAAAGCCTGAAAAGTTTTATGTATGTAATTTAGAATATGTTAAAGATGTAGTAATACTAGTACACAGCATACATGTATTCTTAATATCTAAGTGTGAGAAAAATAGTAAAACCATTGTTGTAGTAATTGTTTTTTTAGAAATGAAACAATTAGTTGAATGTTTTGAGAAAGAAATTCCTTCTGTAAGTTGTAGCACCATTTTCAATTTTTTCTAATTATGACTCTCCTGTCTTAATAACTTTCATAATTTCAATATAACTCGTTCCTCCACTGCACAATCAGACTGTACAATAGCGAAATGCAGACCTAGTGTTCTTTTGTTTCATGTCCCACTCTTGTATGTAATTGTCTTGTGCGTTTCTTATACCTAATAATATGTAAAGTCCACACAATTCAGGAGTACTATGTACCCCTGCTATGTTGACTATTCTTAATAAAATTGAAAATTGAAATATTAGTAATGTGGTATATAGCATTGTCCAAATGGGGCATACCTAAGTTGCATATTCCCCGTGCCTATATATATTCTGTTGTATCGTGATCACATGTGTGAAGCTAGGACCTTTCCAAAGACAGAGTCATTTTCAATCTAATCTTATGTAATGCCCCAACCCCATATTTACGTACTTAGACCAATATATATGTAGTGCCTTACAAAAGAAAGTATTGTAACAGACAGAAATGCGTAACGTTACATCAAGTCAATATGCAGCGCAGTTTACGTTCATATTGGCAACACAGACAGGCAATGTTTCCCTTGACAGAAGATGGTATAAAGGTATATTCCTGTATAGTTTCTTGAATAGACTTATTCTGTATCTGTATAGCCGGTATAACCGCCTTTCGGCGTAACACACCAGCTACTGTATCTGTATAGCCGGTAAACCGTCCTTCGGCATAACACACCAGCTTCTGTATCTGTATAGCCGGTATAAACGCCCTTCGGCGTAACACACCAGCTTCTGTATCTGTAAAGCCAGTATAACCGCCTTTTGGCGTAACACACCAGCTTCTGTATTTGTATAGCCAGTATAACCTCCCTTCGGCGTAACACACCAGCTTCTGTATCTGTAAAGCCAGTATAACCGCCTTTCGGCGTAACACACCAGCTGTTGTATTGATCACAAAGTCATTGCTACCATACCTTGTACCATGTACAACTAACCAGCAATAAAGTTCATCCATTCATTCATAATTCACTGCGACGTATATTATAAGTATAACGTTACTACTAGTAAACAGAAAATGTATATGTATGCTATGTTGTTGTTGCTGTCCTTGTTTAACGTCTAAGTAATATATCACTAGACGTGGTCTCTAGGTGCTGGTTTAAGCTTGGTTCAGACTGTTCAGAATCTCTGTAGGTATTTACACTTGGTGACCGCCCCCCTCCCCCTTCCATTCAAAACAACAACCAGAACGGTTCTTCTAATACCCAAATAAGCTCAAATTCCAGACAAAAAGCCATCCTTACCATGTAAGAAGCTCCAGCTCTTTCTCATATACGTGGTCCCAGCTGCGTAGATCATACAGTAACAATCTTGTAGTACAAAACCTCGAATTTGTGCCAAAGCGTGAAAATGTTTTGGATTTTCAAGAGGGGTATTGTAGGTCAAAGGTGAAAAGGCTATTCCACTACAGAACTGGGGGGTGTAACGTTAGCCAACCTGTATTTAAACAAAGAGATACCGTCCCACCTTGACTAGTGTGGGTTCTTGGCTGGCAAGTTTACGAATTCTCACCTGACTATCTAAGCGTGCACGCTCTAACTAACAAGTAACGTAACTTTATTCTTTATTTCAGGCGCAAATTGGCCCATAGTAGACAAACAATTCAAATAACAAGGTGCACACATAATAAAAACGGTAGGGTTCGGTACATATACATACGAGAAGGGCCTTACCGGTAGACTAGGCCGATATAGTGATCCCAGTAGTGACTGGTGGATGATAAGTCTGAGTGGATTGCGAGTTGAACGGCTCAAAAACAAGTTTGAACTCAATTCTGAATGGCACGACCCGAACATCCAGAGCCTTGAACTCTGACCCCTAAAAACCTGGTTACACATATTAAGTACCTGATTACACATATTAAAGTACCTGAATACACATATTAAAGTACCTGATTACACATATTAAAGTACCTGATTACACATATTAAAGTACCTGATTACACATTAAAGTACCAATATTAAAGTATTGAATGAGGTAACACGGTGTAGCAACCAACAAGTCTTTTTATTCGTCATGAAAACAGCAATAAATCATTGGAACATTGCAGTAATGTCCTGTCCTGTTTCTTTCCTTCATCATATATTATCAAACCATTTATGTATCTCCTGCATATGCACTTCTCATCAAAATATCTTATGACATACACAAAAAAAATGAAATTTGGAGGGAGCCTAATGCATTTTGTATCCATATATTATATGGCGTCACTCATATATTTTATTTTTGAGAAGAATATTGGAATGATAACGTTGCATGTAGCTACACAAATGCCGTCATTAGTGTTAGGAAGAACACCATCAAGCAAGGACGTTCTATCAAGCAAAGACATTGGCATTTGTAGGTACTAGTAAGCTGGACAACTCGGCTCAACACGACACATTTAGACGGTAACATTTGCAAAGAAAATGTTCATAATGTTTACCTTCGCATATGGTCTGCTCTGTTGATTCTTACTCAAACACATTCATATGATGACAGGAGTCTAAATCCTTCCTGCTATAAAATTGCAGCATTATGTAACCCAACACTAGTTACCATGGTGATAGACGTCTGGTTCAGGTCATTGAACTAATTTGTTTGGAGAAGAAGAAGAAGAAACAGAGCAAAAACAATGTTCCGTCTGCAAATTTAAACACAACCAAGACTACGATTAAAGATTCGTAGGAACCTCTACTTCAGCCAACTGTTCAAGCGATGAAGTGGCATACCACCAAGATAGGTATCGCTAGAAACAGCGAGAACAGGGACGAGATTGTAGAAGCGCCCCCTGCCGGTCCGTTCACTTCTGCTTCTGTGGTGTTGTGGCAAAAGTACCACATATTCTCCACGTACTTGGTGAACTCGGAACCCTCCGGGTACCCGTTGTTTCTCACCAGTTGCTTGAAGAAGACGGAGGAAGCTTTGGGGTACCGGGTGCGCTCTGGGTCGTTGAAGTCTACAAAGTGGAGGCCGAAACGCTCGGAGTAGCCGGATAGCCACTCGAAGTTGTCCAAAAGGGACCAGGCTGTGTAGGCCTTCACCTTGACATTGTCCAGGTTGTGAGCTGGTTGTGGAATGCAAAACAAAAGTCATAAAGTAAGAAACATTGTACTGAAATTTTGTTACGTTAAACTTTTGATCTAACACAAATAAGTTCTCTCTCCTAGAAGGATTTCGAAAAGTCAGTGGTCTTCCTCAGTAGGCTGACCCAGTGAGGCTTGCCAAGTGCCTTCTTTGAAGTGTGACGTCTAACTCTTGGTCAGCTACTGAAGAGGACAAGACTTTTTGGCTGGTCGAAAGCTCTTTTTGTAGGTCAAAAGTTTAAACTTTGAACATGTAAAAAAAAAAGACTTTATCAAACGTATCTCACCGGATTATCCCGAGGCTGATGATGGTGATGCCATGATAATTATTGGTAAATCCCACTTTTCGTGCAGTGCATATAGTGTAAATGGCGTATGGATAATGTGACCGCAAACATATACGGTACCTTTCATGACTTCGTTGGTGTACATCATATAGTAGCAGATCCGGTCCATGTCCATCATAATGCCGGGATCCTGGTCATGGTCAGACCTGAAGTTTCGGTGAAAACATGAAATATAATGTAGAGTTAAGTATGAAAGTGAAGTATCATATATTGTGGCTAATCTCAGTCTGGGAGTCAGAGTTGACAGGGCCAGTACACTTCTCGACTCCAGGGCTAGCCTAGATACCAGGACTGGTATACAAGCTTAGCTCTTCGGCTCCAGGGCTAGCCTAGGTGGCCCAGACTGTTGCCAGGACCAGTACACATACTATCTCTTCGGCTCCAGGGCTAGCCTGGGTGCCAGACTCTTACCTGGGCAGTGTATGCAGGCTGGAGTGTACTAGCCCTTAGGACACTCTGACATCCAGTGTATGTAAATCCTTGTAGTAAAAACATCTGCCCACCTTCCGTTTTCCGTGACGTAGACATCCGGATCTCCGTACTCGTCCCGGATGAAGCCCAGCAGATTCCGGATTCCCCACGGAACAACGTAGAGCCAGACGGAGGCGGCGACCGGCCAGTCAGCCGCATGCCCGGTGTGAACATCCTTGTCGGTGTCGTAGTTGGGGTCAGCTGTGCAAAGGAAAAGAAACGTCTTATAAACTTATGTACAGAACCGTGCTCTATCCAGAACAGGCATGGTTCTGGATATGATATTCCTCATCTATCGCACGGTTCTAGATAGTCCATATGAATTCAGAACCGTGCCAGAGGCAAATCTACGTTCTTGGGTACGCAAGAC